CTCCCTTGTTTTTTATAATATTTTTAGTCTTCTAAATCGACGGCTTTTCACATTTTTGCAGCTACATGGTTTACAAAAACGATCATTTTTTTGTGCATACCCAAAATCAAGAAATCCGCAAGGCGATTAAATATTTATTTTTATTTATAAACATAATATTCAATTATTGTACAATTTAAAGTGCAATTGGGCTTGACTCACGTTAATTTCCAATTAACAGCCCGAATGCTGATCGATGGAAATGCAGAAATAACCGTATCGGATCCAAAATATAGTATCGAATCATCACTGCGGCCATCCATTTATTTGGGTATGAATATATGTGGGCAAGCTATGTGTACTCATACTTCCTACATGTTTTATTTTCTAACTATTGCATATACTTTCCAAGTATAACCATAATTATTACCTGTTTCCAGCTGGTATGACTCTCGTATCGTATCGTATTCCTCAAAGTATTTCTCAGCCCAACTGGAACGATCTTAATTATTTTTCCGAATACCGTAAAAAATACTGGAATTTACTTACCAGAATCGGAATAGGAACCTATATTCGTTTAGCCTCGATTTCGGATTGACCTTTCCTTTCCTTTCCTTTCCTTTCCTTTTCAGCCTAAATTAACTCTTAGTAGTTTGTGTATTTTTTGTTTAATAAGTTTTCTTATGCCGAAGAATTATCTTCTTGGGTTATCAAAAAGACAGTCGATTATTTAAATACAAAAAATCCATTCAATAAATCAAATAAGCCAACATTGTTTGCGTGGCAAAGATTCATAGGCATCGATTTGCGCATAAATTTCAATGAGAATAAAATTGAATTGTAAATGTGTTGTGGGCATCAAAGAATTGACTGAATTTAAAATAAAGATGAACGAATCACAAAGTAGCGTAAGCCAAACGGTTTTACCCAAATAACAGATATATCTCAGAGCTAATTGGGGGTATAAAGCGCTTGAAATACCAATAACACCCCTTTCGTTAGTGTGCTTTTTAAGGCCAAAGGTAACCATTAAAATTACCATTTACAATTACTTAGCTGTGCCACCCTGTTTTCGTGGTTACAGTTCACGCAACGTGAAGAGTGCAGTGTATTTTGGAATGAAGGGGTATTTTTTAATGAGAGCCTTAGTTCAGTCGGTATGCCAACACTTGACAAGTGCACCAGGAAAATTACAGACAAACACAATCATAAGTATCGTATGTGTACACAATTATCTCCGTCCAACTCAAATATTCGACATTGTTACTCACTGGATTAGCCTGTGCGGAGAAGAGTTCTAGGCCAACACTGACAGACTGCGTGAAAGACGTGAATTTTGACAGATGGTAATTTTCAATTTTTGTTTTTTGATCTAACAATTTGTGTTCAAATTTAAAAGTGTTTTGTTGTCCCTTCACTACGCTTTATTTGGCAAATAGCTAATTTGTATTTGTCACAAAAAAAAAAGAATGTAGAAGGCCCATTGAGGGTTTTAAAATTCAAAAGCATGGTAAATTAAGGATTGCAATTTGAACATTAACATGTTAATGCCACAATCGATGTCACAATATTTGGCTTTGATCTGACAAAATTATTATTGTTCGTATTTGCTATCAACTGCAATAATAATTTTTATTTTGATGCCGACTACACACATGAAGAACTTCGCAAATATAAAGAAAAAAAGCTAGTAAGATAAAGTAACTCTACCACATATTCATTTTAAGTAATATGTACATAAATATGTACGTTTAAGAGCATAGTCGACTTTGAGATGCCCTGTATAAAGGTGTAAAAAACTCTCGCCGTATATAACTAACTCTCGCCGTATGACTAGGCGGCCCAATGATCAACCTACATGACTTTATTATTATACTCATTTTTTACCTCTTCTAGGGTACATGCATATCGAGTGGAAGTTTTAATGGTAATCATATTGATAACTCCCTTAGCGTAAATTATGGGTTACCGCATGTTGGTACGATTTTGGGTTGAAATAAAAAACGACCACGAAGGGCGATTTGCTTCTTACGCTGTCCGGGGGGTGTTGCCGAATGTTGGCGATGGGGCGATTCGCGTAACAAGAAATTGTCACGTAGCCCTCACTTAGTGACACTGATAGGCAACACCGTCGAGAGCGTTTTTTAGCACGCGCATGTTAACAAAAATGCGGAGGCGGGCACCATCCATACTCTTATTTCGCCGGAGCGTCAGGAAATTGTAATTACAATTTCATGTAGCAACCACTCGGTGGTTTGCATGTAGCCCAATTCTAAGCTGGGGTGGCCAGTGGTTAAGCGAGCGTGTAATTCACAATTTGCTCTGGTTACCCACGTTTACAGCCGACAAATGTTTTAATTATGGTTTACTTTACATTTGCAATTTGAGTGAAATAGAAAGTGATAAAGAAAGCTCTTAATTGTCTTTATGTCGATTGCCCAAAGGCAAATAAAGACAATCCAAATTCTTATTTCTCGTCTTATTTTCTGAATCAAATGGCTAAAGGTTTCCTATATTTTATTTGTATATAACAGCACACTCCTTTATCGTAACTTTACATAGGCAATACATTTTATGAATAATATTATCAGCTTAGATAAATAAGACTCAAGCTCATCTTCATAGATATCGGTGAAAAATTCGTTATCAGGGATTGGAGGAAAAATTATATTCATTGTTTTACTGGTTATGGAAATGCACATATAAATTAATATATACAAATGCGGTTTTTATTTGTTCCTTTAAGGCAGTGCCATTTCTCTGCTCTTGCCCCATGATCATTCTACGATTCTATTAACTCACAGCACTAATCAGATAATACATAGGCATAGGCTTCGAAGCCGCTGCTTTTCTAATGGGATGTCAACTAGACACGAACACGTAGTTACATACCTCCATGTCAATGGTTATTTCACAGATGCACTTTGAAGAAAACCTCAAGTTATGAACATATGTAAGATCTGCGCAGGGTTTACGAAAAGTTATATTTAAAATTTGAAGTCTATAGGTATTCCGGTCTCTGAGATTGTTTGTGTATTACTTGTTTCTGATTGGTTTGCAAATATTCGTGATAGTCCTTTACCAATTTATAATTGGTACAGGGTACATTATAGGCCTTAACATAGCAAAAATTACATACAATAATATGATTTTTCAGCCGTGATCCTGGGTTTATTGTCTGATCTGTCTAGAATAATTATTTAACTGAGTATCGACTCAAGACTCGTCGACTAAAAATATAGCTTAAACATCAACCGACTATCCCAGTATAATAACAGATGAAAACTGATTTGAAATAGAATTTTAACCACTTTAGTTTCATGTTACTAATTTAATATTAACTACTCTAAAACAGTCTCCATGTACGAGCGCAATTTTCTATTTTTATAAAAATGTTTCCAAGCATTTAGTGCGAAGCGCCATCTACCGGATAAGAATTTCATTTATTTTATTATAAGATTTGCGTAAAGACTAAAGGTTTTTCGTTAAGTGAAGTTCGATCAGAGAAATGAAAACTTCGGAAACTAGGAATTTACTAAAAATCTTGTCAATGTCTGGAACCCCTTGATTAGTTTTTCATAACTATCGCTCCCATTGCATTATATTTATTAAATTCTTATATATTTATCATTTGATCCATAATTTATATTGAAATATTTGATAGCTCAGTCGTGTTAGTGAGAGAATAATCATTTAAATTTATAAAGGTTTGTGTCTCTACTTTAAATCCTCTGTTGAGTTTATTTCGATCAATAAGTGTGCAGAATAAATTGGAAATAACTCTAAACCGGCCTGTATTATATATTTCGGCGAGATAAGAAACAACTGAATACAACTTTTTTGTTATTTCAACAGTTTCACTTTAAAATAGTTCTTAAGGCTCAAAATAAATAATCTAATATAATAGTGTATTGTATGGAATGCTTTTTATTTCAATTTATGTAGATCATTAATAAATATCAGGTTTCGATAAGAATTCATTGAGAAAGACTCTATAATGCTCTATAATCTTGGGTTTTTATATTTGGAAAAAATGCTAATTTCAATGCACGCAACTGCTCTGCAAGGATATTAATATTCGTCTGAAGAAAGCATTTTTGAAGTTGAAAATTATGTGTATTTTCATAAGAAAATTTACAGCAATAAGGCCAATTATAAATTTAAAATATTAAATATGACTAATATTTAACCAGAGGGGCTGTGTAATTGTATTTAATGCATATATACATATGTGCGTTCATTATAAACTGATTTAAAATGCTAGCAAAATTACCGTGTCTCCCAGCACTGCAGACGAGATTTTCAAGGAGCATTCTTTATTTATGTATCATATATGCGAATAAAAAGAACTCATTCAAGCTTTTGACTTTCAAATCATCTTTAATATAATTTTATTTTTATAACATTGGGTAATCGGCTTTATGTATGTATATCCGTATTTAATGCTTCTAATTAAGATTGTATTCAAACAGCTCATATTATATAGCAACAAAACTTTTTTTTTAATATTTATATTACTAACTTTTTGTTAGATAGTTTTAATTAGCAAATGTTAAATGTGAAATGCCGCAATTATCTGCTGGGTGCTATACCCATCTAAAACAGATTTTAATTGTTATTTTTTCAATTCAATTCAGTTGTTAGTTTTCATAAATTTGGAATTTATCAATTATTTCAAATAGATAGAATTTAACTGCGACCCTCAAAATATGTTAATTTATTAATTCGTCGTATATTCTTTATTTAACATGTATCAATTTTACTAGCAATTCTTTACTTCCCTTTTATAGATGCTTATCATTTTGGGTGTATTTGAAAAACTACTTATGAATTGAATGTTTCCTTTTTTATTTAAAACAGCATTTTTTATTTATATTCTTGTTTCATTCCATTATATGTCTTTTTGAGTTTTGCGATAAGTATGCTAGATGTATTTTTGCTGTCCGTCGATATTTTAGCTAACTCATTACTAAATTAAAGAAAAACAATGTAAAGCTAAAAACACCACATCAACATACAGATACTTTTAACTTCTCGATTAACACATATTGAATCATTTGTATTTATAATATCATTGAGGCTAATCTAAAATAAAAATTAAATTCATGTTAAGAAAATTATCGTTACACTTTCTACCACATTTATATGAAACAAAATTGTTTAAGTACCATAACATTTTGATACATTTCTAATATTGCAAGAATAGTTGCGGATGATGAAAGTTTTGGATGGAAAATTCTTTTATAATAGTTTCAGTTTCAAATGGTGCATATTGAATGTTTAATTATTTCTTTTAGTGTTCATTAGCATATAGAATTGATTTTAGTTAGATAAATTTTTGTTCTTTAAATATATATGCATTTAAATGTATATGTAGATACATCAAATTTCCTTTTTTATTTGTTTATAAGATTAATAGGTATGTATTTATATGTGTTAATAGATTTGCATTCTTATCGCAAGTCGGGATCTTCATCGGCAGCTTTTTTAATTCTTAGCAAGATTGTTGTGTACCACTGATCCAAACGCGAGATGCTGTCATAATCCTTTACAGCCTCTGTAAACCCCTCAATGTTCTGCTCCTCAAGATGCTCGCACAACACCTGCAAAACAGAGACTTAGTCAACTATTTAAATTAGTTAGTTACAAGTGGCATGTACCTTGATGAGCTTAAATTCCCGTGAGTCCTGGAATGCCGGATACTGTTGCGCATACTTCTCAATCGCGTGTTGCGCATTCAACAAATCAACACTAAGGTGACAGAGAGCGGCACGAAAGAAGTACTCCTTTGCGCTGTATTTGAGCAGCGAACTCTCGAGCGACGAGGCAGCGACCTGCTCGTAGATCGATATTGCTTTTTCATAATCTTCCAGCTGGGCGGCATACTGGGCAACTTTTAGCATGCATTTATTGGCGGAACTGACCGACTCCTCGCCCTTGAAATAGTCAGCCGCCTGCTCATAGTGTTGAATTGATTTGGCCTGTATACGACGAGAACAAAAATGTTAAATATGAATAACAATATAATCGTCTAGTTGCTCTTACCAGTGTAGCCGGGTCGGTCTCATACATTTCAGCAATGCTTTGATGATGCTTGGCTGCCATCGAGAAGCGACCCATATCGGTGTATATGTCAATGGACTTCATCAGACAGTTGACGGCGTTTTCAACGTCCACCTTCTTGTAGCAGTTGGAAGCATCCACATAGCAGGTCCCAGCATCATGGCGGCTGCCAGCACGCGCATGCAATGTGGCAGCCTCACAGAAGCATTCGCCGGCCTTAGTCCAGTTCTTCGACATTTTGAACATATTACCAGCCCGCTGATAACACTCGATGGCATCTTCGATCTTGTTGCTACCGCTAGGAGAATATAAAGTACAGAGAACATGCGATATAGTTAGACATTCTTACTGAAGTCCTTGTCCAATTTATTAAGCAAAATATTTATTGTAATAACAAAACCCAATTCAATTTGTCTTGGGTCAGTCGTGCACCGATTGCTTCAATCTAACTCAATGGTCTAATGGTAGTTATTTCGATTTCATAGTGTTTATAACATATATTTATAAGTCAGCATTTAATATTACACTAAAAATACTAATGGGCGTACATATATTGTACGGAGGTATGACGAGCACAAGCCAGGCTAAAAATTCCTTGTCGGTTCGGAGTTGTTTGTTACATTTTTTATTTATATTTAAATGCTTAGCAGATGTGATTTGGTGACAAAATTCGCAGCAGCTCACATAAATAAAATATACATTTGCATTGATACGTATCATCCACATATGATGACATATGTACATACATACACACATACGCTTAAGCTTAATATATATTAGATTAGTAGATATTACGCACATGTACAAGCAAAGTATATAAAGACATTATCTTTTTGATAATGGTATCTAAAGCTGATATAAATATTGTTAAAAAGGAAAATTATGAACAAAAAGAAAAGCATTGTTAGTACACATTACACATTACTCACCCAAAAAGTGAGCCGAGAAAACCTTTTTGTTGTGTCAGCTTCTTCTCCGCCTCAGCCATAAGCTGGAGGGCCTTTTGCTCATTGTCGCCCATTTTTTTGTAGTTCACTAAATTGCATTTAAATGCAACAAATATTATAGAGATTCTGTGTCGGTTTTATATGTTTTCCGCAACTTGGATTTACGACTTTTCTGAAAATAAAATCAATACGAAATCGCATAACAGTGTGACCAGAGTTCCAAGAGTGAATCAATTTATTTTCGCCAAATGTCACAAAACATGTACTAAGCAATGAACATATGTTTAAAACTATTGACTCACTGGTTGTCTTTCGTTACATGCCAGCAAGAACAGTTAATGCAAGTCAAAAACAGCTATAAATGAAATGTTATTAACCAAAATTTAAGATATGTATGAACTATCGCATGCCTACCAGCTGTGCAGAACAGTGTGCTTATCGAATGCCAACCACATTTCGATTGGCAGTAAATGTCGATAGCCATCGGTTCGATAAAAACATTTAAAGCTCAATTTTACTAATTTAAAAGTGAATATTTCTTTAAAAGATCTACACTTATTTCTTTTAAAAACATCTAAGCATATTTTAAAATGGGTACAATCCAATTTTTTACAATTAACATGGTAATAAATAAAAAATGGGAGCGAAATAAGAGTCCGATAAAATCTTTTAGGCCCATAAATGTTGATTAATCTAGAATAACGTATATTTATTTCTTTATTAAGTCTATATTTGTTTCTTTTAAAACATTCGAGCTTATTTATAAATGTGTAAGATTGGATGCCCATCTTTTGCAGTTAACATGTTAATAAACAAAAATAGATCTAAGCGGAAACAAAAAGGAATCTTTAACTTAAACATTAAAAATCGAGTTAATTTAAACAGCAACTAAAATTTGAAATTCGAGAAAAGAGATAAATTTGTATAGAAAAAAGTACCCTGGGCTCCGTCATTGGCTCGACGGTTAAAGTATACCAAGCGCAAGGAGAACAAAGTCAGCCGGCTGCTGTGGACATCTTACTACTGCTCTAACTGTGCTGCTCAAACAAACATCTTTTCGAGCATTTTTCTAAGTTTCTCATGAGCATAGCGTATCTTCTGATATAGATCCTTGGAGACACCACTTTGAGCAATAGTCGAAAATCGATATGTTCGAAAGTTTTTCTCGTGATCCATGTAGGTAATGGCGCTCATGCGAGGACATAAAATTATCTTCATATGATCCGAAAAGTTAAGCTAAAGCAAAAACAGATTACATTATAGAACATACAAAATAAATTCAACTAAAGAATTAGAAAGTACCTGAACCGAACCGTTGGTCAAGTGCATGACAACCGCACAAGTTGTGCGAAACCAAGAGTGCAGATGAGGCATACGCGAAATCTGATCGCTTTCGACGGTGACATTGTTGGCTCCTGCCTTGACCAGATGCTCAGTCATATAGCGCTTAAAGTAAGACAGTAGCTTCATCTTCTTATCGAGAGTTTTGCAGTAGTCCGTCGTAGTCATGTAAGTCTCTTTGCCCTCCTTATCGATGAAATGCACATTGATTTGATTGGGCAGTAGTATTAGCTTTGTGGTGTCATTGAACATAACTCCTATGCCCTCATCACACAGCTGATAGCCAAAGCCGTATTTATCACTGTAGTCGACCCACTTCGATATCCAGAAGAGCGGCTGGGCAGCTGGATCGGTATTCTCGTCACCCAGATTGCCTTGCAATAAGCGAGGCTGCCAGTTAAAAAATATTACATTACTTTTCGGTTGTAAAGAGAAAGCAATACTGACCTTATTATTGATAAGAGTGGTCAGCTGCTGATGCAGACTTTCAATGTCGCTACGATAGTCCTCGTTGTGGCGACACATTTGTGCCGACGCCGTAATGGCATCATGCAAATTATTCTTCAGGAAGGTAGACTCCAAACGGGTATCATCCCTCAGACCGTTGATTTCCGTCAACGGCTTGCGTTGATTGGGATCCTCGATGGTATCGTTGATGCCGATGCGCGGCGCCATCGTTAGGCAAGAACTAGGCAAGAACATAGGCACCTGTGACGCCTTGAGGAACTCAAAATTCAGCAGCTGTCCAATTGTTGGCCGACTCTCCGGGTTCGGTTGCAGCATGGCAATGACCATATCCGCAGCCGGCTTTCTTAAGTAGCTTGGCACTCGGTACTCGCATTTTTTGATTTTCGAGTAAGTGTCCTTCAGCGTTTTCGTCTCAAACGGCGGCTGACCCACCAACAGCGTATACATGACGCAGCCAATCGACCAAATGTCGACCTCAAACGAGTGACCCTTCTTGGTCAGAATCTCAGGTGCTATATAGTTGGGAGTGCCGCACAGCGTCTTTTTGCGTTCACCGTCGTATTCGATACGCGTTGCCAGGCCAAAGTCACCGATTTTCACGTGCAACATGTCGTTAAGAAACAGGTTGCCCAACTTAAGATCTCGATGAATGATGCGATGGTCATGCAGATACTTCACACCCTGTATTATCTGGTATATGTAATAGCGGGTCTCGAACTCTGTAATACTTTTCCGACGCTTGTGCAACTCCATCATCGACTGCAGACCAGAAATGTATAGAAATTGTTTAGTTATACAAGTCACTTAAGATTATATAATTTATACAATATATGAAATTATTCAAAATTTAACTGATTAAGACATTCTGAATACTTACGCGTTTCTTACACAGCTCTAGCACAATGTAAATATTCTGCACATCCTCAAAGTAGCTGTGGAACTTGACAATGTTTGGATGATTTAGGCTGCGATGAATAGTTATCTCCTGGGCAGTCTTCTCTTTTTGGTTGTGTTTTATCATCAGCTTCTTGGACACGATTTTACCGGCGAAGACATCGTCTGTATCCACATCGATTATCTCGTAGCATTTGGCAAAGCCACCCTGCGAAATAATTTGATGGAAAATTCCAAATTACACACTTATGTATATATGTACATATGTATGTATATATGTATGTATATTTAAATGCGTGTACATAGCTATGCACATATGTATGTAGTATGTATGGACAATTCATTGCGTTTACATACTATGTACATTTTTGTATGCAGTACGCGCCAAAAGAACCAACTGGTTCAAGTGTTTCTCAACACTATTTGGTAAAGTGCGCATGCACTTACACAAGCACAGAGTCAGACACACGCACACACAATTGCATTGCGCGAAAACAACAGGAATGTGATCGCAAAGGAAAAGAAAAGGATGCAAGGCAGCTGCATGAAACTGCAAAACTCAGCGCATGTTCCCCAATTTCTTTCTCCGTATGGGTAAACAGCATGGAGCACTCGTTTAGCGCTTACCTTGCCAAAAAAGCGCATACGTTTGTAGGTCTTGCGATGATTGGCGTCAAACAGACGATCGGGAATATCTGTGCTCTTTTCTTCGGGTTTTGCGGCCATTTTCTTTGCTTGGGATTCCTAGTTTGATACGACCACTTCAATTTCTTTTCTATGTTTTGCTCTGTTTTTGCTTTCTCTCTTTCAATTACGAGGTTAGATTAAATAAAAACACAACAAGTACGGGATTACAAATATACATAAAAAGAATGTTAACGACGACACCAGCGATTATTTGGCTGACAAAGAACACGCAAGAATCGAGCTGCACAAATTACAGGCACAACGCGCCGAAACAGTTTGTTTAATTTGAATGCTTGTTTGAGTAGTTCGTCAGCGTCACTACAATCACAAAACGATAATACGTTTTAAGCAGCCCTGCTTTAAACAGTGCTCGAAAATATTAACAAACCGATCGTGCCGACGTTGGAAATTTGAATACTATGCTACATGTATTCAACAGTGTTGCCGTTTTCCTCATTAATCGGTCAGATGTGTCCTTTTTTTATTTCAATTACCCGGAAGAATTAGAATCCAGATATGCCCAACCCTTTGCCCGAAAAGTAAGATTACACTACAGTCATTAACAACTAAAAAAATTGCTGAGCAGGAAGCTAAATTGGGCATGTCCATTGATTGCTATATGATTGCTATTGACCCAAAAAAGATTGGCATGCTGACATTGGCGATGGAAAAATCTGTCTATTGGACATTATTTATTTTTAAATGTAGCCTGCTTTCTATTATCTTAATTTTTCGTTTATTACCTCCTTACCCCCCTAGACTTATCCGATTTCTAATCGATAATTGACAATTCTGGTATTTAATTCAATTTTATTTTGGAAATTATAAAAAATATATACAATGATTTGTAGAAATAACTAGAGGCATAACCAAATAATATTGGGCTTTAATATTCCAATATTCTGCAAACAAATATACTATATTCTAAATTGGGAGCATATGGTCTCACTTAGAAGCAAATAAACGAATTCCTTGAACAACACTGAACTCTACGGAAAAATGTTCAGAAAATTGAACACGCTAAATCTTATAAGGCATTAAAATCATTTTATTAATTTTTGTAACGAATATGTCACAATTTACATAAGATATCAAACCATTCTTATATTGAATCAAACCTAATGATTAACCTGAAAAACCATTGCAGTCAATATCACATTTGAATATACATGTATAACAAGGAGATTACATTGAGACAACCGATTTCGCAGTAATGAAAGGCATGAAAACAGATGGGAGGCATTCTTCTTGATTATGGATTTGCTCTAAAACTGTATGCAAAAGTAGTTGAATTTACAAGTGTGTATTTTTTCAGACATAATATATAGAATATTTAGGGAGAAATTTCCCTGCATTACATATGCAGATTCACTTAACAGATCCCCAAAAATTTCCTGGCAAGGAAACTGACATCAGCGGCTCAAATCAGGCGGATGAAGTCAACACTTAGACTATTGTCGCTAAATTGTGTCGAACTCCGCACTAAATTGGTTAGACATTCTGCAAAAGAATTCAAAGGTGATGCATTTGATTACTACTAACAATTAATGTATATCTATTTATATGGAGTAGTAAAAACGTCCACTGAGTATCTTGACGCCAATGATTTTGTGTAGTTATATAAACGGTGGCTAGCTTTCTGACCAATCAGAAATACACAAAATATATATCAAAAAGCTAAACCACCAGAATTATTTTTATTATATCTTGCAGGCAGCGTCCATTACCAAGCTGTCTCATCGAGTTGCTTAAAAGTAAAGCAATTCCATATATGATAAGCTTCTTCTGCATGACCCTAATATACCTGCTTGCCATGACTTATTTCGTTGTTTGTAGTTGTTGCTTTACTGCAGTAGCTTGGCTTAAAAATCTTAATGCCTTTCAGATTTGTAGTTGTTCTTTAGTGAATAGTAGAATTAAAAACGCCTTATGTGGTTTGTTTTAAATGTTGTTTACAATTAAATTATTACATTAAATATATATTTATATATCAATAGTGTAGTTTTATAGTTGGTTTGTTTTGCCAGTTTTACGCAGTCTCAAGTGCCTTGTGTCTCTCTGTGTGTGTACGAATGTTTCTGTCTCTGAGTAAGCGCATGTAATGGGGGCTCTGAGTGTGTGTTGTGTGTCTGTTTGTGTGTGTGTGGGTGCGTGTGTGTATGTATGTGTGTCTAACTTCCGAGGGTCTCATCATGGACACTACTGAATTTCTAAAGTTTAACTAGAAGTATGCGATCCATACACTCTCAGCTGGATCCCGAACTGACAATGACTAAGCCACGTTGCAAACGCAGCCACTCCACAAACTCATCCAGCATTACGGGCCCTAAGAACAATGCGATTTATATACAATATGTATGCATTTGTATCAGGCGATACTTACATGCGCCATCAATATCGTAGTTTGACAGATCAATGCAGATGGTGCGGGAGAACTCGAGTATGTTGCACCATTGATCCTTATTGATAACCTTGTACTTGGATTGCTCAAGGAATTGCGCAAATTGAGGATACAGTGGCCAGTGTTTGCCCAGGAGCAGCTGCAGCATCGCCTTTGCTGTCACAATATCCATGCTTCGCTGATCCGAGTCCTAATAACCGATATGAACAAAATTATCATTTGAAAGATTGCAAGAGTATGCTCAATAAATGAGCTCTCACCTTGGCAAAGTCGTAGGCATATCGATATATACTCTTGAACGAGTTGGAATCGTTGAGTATGCTGCGCAGATAGTCCAGTTTCACAACCATTTTCGCTGTCGAATCACATTCGAGATCCGTGAGACCCTTTAACCATTCCTGCTGACTGAAGAAGCCCATCTGTGTAGCGCCCATTTTGTAGGCGAGCACCAGCATCACAATATTCTCGGGCTCAACGCCAATGTCTTCACAGAATTTCTCCATGCCATCAGGCCCTATAATAATCGGATCGCGTGAGTTCGGCAATAGTTTCAATAGATTTCATAAAATACTTCTCAACAGAATCATATTTTATACTTACCCAGCGTTTCAGGTTCGTCTGGCGTTGTATATTCATGGAACCAGGTGAGACAACGCTTCTGGTTGAAGCCATCTTCCGCTCTAATATGGCGTCTGGGAAAATAGTTGAAAGAATTTGTTTTGTTCAAGAAATGCTTATTCATTTTATAAGTAAGAAACACACTTATCCATTTTAAAAGAAAACCAATATTATTTTGTGATTCGATTTAATTAATTATTTTGCTTGGGCGTTCGCCTCGCTGTTGACGTCTTATTCAATGTTTTTGAGTGTTTGCCACCTAAAAATAGCAAAAGTAAACCTAACGGGGATGCCAATGCCAAGAGCACAAGACAATTCAAAGTGAGCATATGAGAAATGACATTCACAGATATAGCCGAACCACTGGCAAAATAGTACAGGGCGGAAAACAATTTCAATTGCATAAAATAGTGCATATATAGTGCCATATAATAAGCATATTTAATGTGATGAGTAAAACGAATATTCAAATATTTAGACGATAGTGTTCTAAACCGTATATATTCATATTTAATTGTTCATTCATTTGTTTTCAGCATTTGAATGAGTGATATTTTTAATCTTGTAGTCACAATTCGAGAGCAACTGTGAATTTTGTAAATGAGATGTGTAAAATGAAGAAGACAGCCTATATTAGCTCCAAACTGCAATCCCATACAACTGCAATCTCTCTAATAAGGCACTCGACTAGAAGATACCCTGTCTCAAGGATTTACCTGTCATAAGTCAGACCAAATGCGCATAAATTCCTTACATATGCATGTGGCGGAAGCATTGTCTGTCTGCATGCGTACATAGATTCACACACATGCATACAGAAAATGATTCCACCACGTTTTTTAAATTATCTTAACAAAATGTTTACAATTTATACCTGATTAAATATCAAGTCAATTTATACCTGATTAGAAAGACACATTTTTCAAATTCGTTTTTAATACTATTGATTATTGATTTTGAAAAAGTATGAATATACCGATAAAATGAAATAAACTTTATCTGCGTGGGATGTACGTTACCTCATATTCCAAATTTAAATTCTCTAGCTCTTAGAATCTCGGAGGCCAGGAAATTTGTTTAATCATCGAGGGAGCCTACGAACAATCTACAACCAAAATTTTGTGACCCTAGCTTAAAAATTACGGATACATGAATGTAGGCTTTATTAACTCAAACATCCTGGTACAACAAGGTGATATCGATTTCCCAGAACCTTAACCCCTAGTTCCAAAAAACCTTAACACTTAGTCTGACGCAGACATAGCGAGTATATATTTTATGCAGTCCATTAATCTAACGATTTGTTTTTATCGAAAAATTGGGACACTCAAAATTATAAATATTTGCTTTAAGTTACGCTTTTTTCTTGATTTTCACAAGTAAGCGGGATCAAATCTTTGAACTCTTAAAATTTGGAATATGCGATTTTATAAATTTGACGTTGCATAAACGAACATGAAGATTGTGGAAAGTTATTCAAAAAGAGATTGCACGTTTTTTGAACGATTCCTTTTCTACCACACAACCAAAACATAAATAATGATAAAGTTACCTTACCAAAATAAAAAATTCCATAACTATAAAGAAAAATGTTTAATTATATTTATACATGTATATTGCTTTAAAATAACAATTTTTTATTCGATTTAAATAGATAATTAAAATAATTTATAGCAGACATATTTTTCATTTGGGTTACATTTTTAAGTTTTTGTTAATGTTAAACTACGAATAGAATGTCTTATTAGTTTCATAGAAATAAAAATTCCTGCCAAGGACTGTTCAGGTCAGAGGCTGTATTGCTGCAATGAAAACTTGAAAAAACACTCTGAAGAGAGCTTAGGCGATTGCGCCCGAGAATGTGAACTGATAGCGAGAGTTGAATGGAATATGCAAAAGAAAAGAAACAAGAAAAAGGTAGGGAATCGGGAACAGTGAAATGGGAGCCGAAACACTTGAAGGGAGGGAGGGGACATTAAGGCAACAACGAGTTCATAGCGCAGTTGTGCGCAGGACTGAAAGCGAGACACACGTCATTGTGGCCGTCGAAGTAGAGATTAGTACGTAAAAATACATTCGAGTGCTGAGCATTGAATAATAGCCCGAAGAAAAATGCAACAATTTACTGGGAATAGCGGTGATTTAAAGTTAGGCAATAGATTCGCATTGAACATAATATGTTGCATGCTTCTTGCATTACTCGGTAAGTATCTGAAGCACCTCGTTGTCCATGATGGGACAATAGGATGGCATAACCAATGGCAAGGGAAAATCATGGGGCGGGGGAAACAAAAATCAATAGCCTGTGTTCTGACACAGTTAGTGGAAATAGAAACTGAAACTGAATTATATGCCCGCAGTGGATAGCGCTCACGGACTGCAGCTGAGTGCGTTTACCACGAAAACGCCAAGAGTTTCCAAATATACTACGAAATCGCCATCAGTAAGTTCTGGCTCTGTCCAATCATAAGTATTTCCATCTAATTGGCTTCTACTCTGAATTGTTGTTTCTGTTGCAGGCGTCGTCAATGAACCATGATGCGACCACATCGATTTATCGTCTAAATGCCACCAATGACATCACATGCATACTCATGCAGGTGGACGGCTTGATAAGCATACGGTATCGGAACAAACTCAACGAGGATGTTGAGGCCGATTTGTATATGCCGGACCATCCGCAGCTCAGTGGTGAGTGCGTCGAATCCAATGTAGAGATATTGACCATGGATTTCAAGGGTTTTACGCTGTCAATGACCTTCAAAAAGGTATGTTGCTTGTCTAGCTTTGTGTGTATGCTGTGTGTGCGTTAACTGGCACAGCAATAAGGTCAGAGGTTAACTGCAACTAATTTCGGTTATCTGTTATCCGTTATGCAAACACAGTCGTCGGGCGGTGAAGGCTGGTATATCAATCTCTTCGAGCTGACATATTCATCGTCAAACTCACTATTCGAGCATCCCGATCGCCCCAAATTGAATGTGAGACTGACGTCACCGGCACAGCAGCCAATGTATTTCCCAACTCCGGTGGGCAAGTCCTATGTCTGCGACAAGGAGCAAACTGTCATTTTGTATGCTCCCCACGACTCCGGCGACCTATCCGGCCATATTGCACGACTCTACTTGCGCGACCTGCACATGCAGAGCTTCATGTTCAAGGAGACAGGCAAGTGGGGCCCATCCTTCCACTGTAGTGCCACCGGTTCCTATCGCGATGAGACCGCACCATTGGCTGTTGGCACCGCGTTGGCCATTGCGGTGCTATTGACCATTTCAGGCTATGGCGGTTGGCGGTAAGTAACGCAATTATCGACCCACTAAGCTCATTTAAATTATGAAATACGAAGAAACACGAGACATTTTTTAGTCGAGAGTATCCGTTTTAGGGTAATTTGTGGATGCCACTCGAGAGCATACATATTCATTTTGGTTTGCAGATAGCATGTGAATTACAAATCTGGCACTCTCAACATATTATATATGATGTACTTAAATCGTATTCTATCTCTTGCAGGTATTTTAAAATCAAGAAGGTTCAGTACGGTTCGATGGAGTAGACTGAGAATTGATGTACCGCACCTTTCGTTTAATTACTTTGCAGTCATATATTTCTACCGTTCTTTGTTGCATATCAGATATCAGTATTGACGTTCCCAAATATTGTAATCATGTTTTCAAACCTATACAAAAAAAAAATTGTGGGGCATCGGCAACACACATATAACTATAACTGTTATTAAGAAATGAACACAAATTCGTATTATACAACATTAATTGTTGAAATGCATATAAATATATGAGAATTACAAATGTCTTCCATATTGTTAATATAAATAAAAACAAAAAACCTAATTATGATACATATTATTATAAACACATTAATATACATATATATGAATATGTAATTATACAATTACCCCAACAGTTTATTACAAAATCTCCATTTGTATTTGTAATGTAAATCCAGAAATATTTTGATGTGTTAATTAGACACAAACTACAGAAACTTTCTTGATAATCCAAATTTAATTCTGTTTATTATATTTACTGAATTTTAATGAAATAATAAAGTGGTAAAATAGAAAGGAAAAATAATAATAAATACATATAAATAAGTAAAGTCAATTACTTGGAATTGCACGACTAAGAGATATGCTGTAACCAGATCTAACACACATTAGAACTATTGTATCAAATGTAAATTTGTGGGTTCACAATTATTCTAAAACTATTAAACGAATCGCATGATACCGATAATCATTTCATGTTGTATGCACCTTTTCTAATTTAAGAGGACACAAACATTTACTTCAAGCTAATAAATGAATTCAAGATATTAATCCAAACAGATTTCCCATTACTAGGATATGCGTTTAACTGATTTTGAGATTTTATGCAGCACTTAATTTTTTTATTGATTTAAATTTCCCCATTCCAGGTAAGGAGTAGAAATCGGCAATGTATCATCTTCAGTCTAGAAGGTAGATTAATGATAATCTTCTTTAAATATCAAATTAGAAGTATGCTCGATCAGCTAAAATTTGAAAAAGAATGTATCTCCTCCTAAGAAGAAAATTATATTGCACATCTGGTAAGGTATTTAATATTCGGCTACAGGAGATTGAATAACCTATTCAAAGATTATAGGTACTCGATGCCTTGATACAGACAGATGGAGAAAAAGACAGCTCATCAACATAATCTCTATCCATTATTTAACACAGCAAAGATTGGAATGATTTTTTTTTTTGAAGTATAACTATAGGATATTCTTTACTCTGTGATGGAATCAAGTAGTATGACAGTTTCTTAAGAAAACTAACGCGAAAGCCCTAATAATAAGCATAGATTCATGGGAAAACTTCTATTAGATACAAATAAGTGGGCTGGAATCCAACAAAAGGAAACCAGACACCGGACATAAAACTGACAAGAAAGTAGAGGATAGAGTTAGACAGTCATCGTCCACATAAGTCCACATTCTGGAAACTGTGGAAAAGACCCAACCTGAACTGCTGCCATGAAATCATTACAGGCATCATCCACTAGTTCCTAAAATCTTTTGGCTCTACATATATAACAGTCCAACGAGGCGTCGAATGTAACAAATGGTAAGAGAAGTAGAGCGTTCATAAGAGAGCACACCAAGTTTAAGTTGTAGAAAATTAAGAGCACATGCTTTCAAGAGGCGCTAAAACACAACCAACTACATAATCCTTTTATTACAAAGAGATTTTAATGGTAGTCATCGAATACTACTTTATTTATGCAGCCCAAGGATAACTATTCTTATTGACTCATCATTATTTTTCTGTTTCAAAATGGAATTGAAATAATACATAGATATTCAGCTAAAGTCCCACATGTCGTGTTTTTATTGCTGAAAGTACCATGTATTACGAAAAAATATTTTTACAACGCCTATTATTAGGTTTCAATGATTCCGAATCGGATTACCAAATTGAAATGGACAACAATCTTATATTTAAAATTTAAAATTGGATTGTCCATTTTCAAAGCGCAAAGATTGCATTCAAATGTGTGAATTTCAATGTGAAGCCTTTTAAAATATGTGTAATTTGGTATTGGGACAATTTATGCTTAAGGGGTTCGAAACTTACTCAATGGAAAGGCTTTCTGTAAAGAATCTAGATCGACTCTGATATTTTTATGGTGTTTAAGATAAAACATAACTATTTTATTAAATGTAAGATGTTCGTGAAGTACATTTGAAAAATTGGGACATAGGGTTTAATGGAATTCAAAAAATTACTGTCATTATTTATTGTCTACATAAGCTTTGAGTTTTGTATATAAACATGAGCGATAAATTGCATACCTGGCTATTTTTAATTTGGTATATAAGTATGTGCACATAAATATGAGAAATAAAAAAAAATTAAAGCAGATTAAAAGGAATCAAATAACTACGAGTATGCAGCAAAGGTAAGTAAAAAATGTAATTGTTCCTATGTGCGCTTTGTATATATAGTGTGTTCAGATACGGTTCGATATGACGAATATGCTTCAAATTTCATCAAGATAATTTTAGACATAAGCGACTAAATTGCATTGAAAAAGACAGACGGACTCGGCTATTGATGCTGATCAAGAAATACTATAATACCCTCAAAAGGTAATACAGATGTTTACTTTGCTGGACTATGAATCTAAATTGATGCGAATCATCACTAGTATTGAATAAGCTTTTAAATCAAATCAATTTACACGAAAAACACTGATTCCTTAATACAGGGAATGTTCGTTGTAGTAGTACCAGAAAATAGTATATACTAATTGAAAAGAATCGAAATATGAAACTCACCTGCTGGTTTGCTGTGTTGCAATGTTTGTGTAGCTGGTGCGTGCTCTTTTTGATTGGCCATCCATATTGTCGCCGATTTCTGGAGCTCGACGTTTACCTCGTGGCATGACTTTTGTGATCTGATTGCGAAAGCTGGCCTGTTTTACCAAAGTAGAATCGACAAAATGCTCTTTCCTAGACAATTTTATTACACGAGTTTGCAGCTGTGGAACAGAGTTAAATTTAATTTAAAATATATATATATATATATATTAAATGCACTTACCACTGTCTGTCAGCGCAAAGTAGTTATTGAAACATCATAGCTGTAATATACAAATTTAGTGGGTGAGAAAAACTGTTCCTATAAATTACTCATACACATCTATGATATGATATATGGTAGGGCAGTCTGACAGATGCACTAACTACAGCACTGATACGGATATACATCCGTGTAAGGATCATCCAATTAAAAATTTTTTTTTTTTAATTGCCAATAACATTTATCACAGTCAACTAGATTCCTTCAACTTTATTTTTATAACAATTTTGTTAGGGTTTGCATAAATTGCATATCGTTTGCATACCAAAGTTTAAGTATTAAAAAATTGAAAAACTGACTAATTGTTCCTTGGTTGCTATATGTTATAGCAAATTAGCATGATAAAAGTCGTAACTAGTTAACTAGTCAAAAGCGTTTAATACCGGCGAACCATCCACATGCCACCCAACCTATCCGCTGCTCACAGCTGAGAAGTTGCACATTATGCGCAGAATATCGAACACATGCAAATAAATATGTTTTTACATACATCTGTAAATTAATATATATGTAGGCAGCTACACCTTCGAGTTATTATTGCTTGAGCGTAATTGCATTTTATAATTCGTGCTTGTACACATGTACAAAAAGAAATTACAGCTTGCAGTCGGAATAATTGCAAATATGAATGTGTATCAGAGCATTGTTTTATGACCAATGCTGAAAACACCGGCAGTGGATTGGACAAGGACAAGGACTGGGCTTGGATTTGCTATCGGTATCGTGGTGGGCCATCACAACTACAACTAAACCAGCAGCCAGCAGCAGCAGCAGCTGATATGACAGCCAGCAGCAGCAGACGGCCGCAGCCTGCGCGTGCTTGCTTCGTACGTCGCTAAATAAAAGACTCTTGTTTGGTTTGCAAATATGTTAAGAAGACGCTCGAAATCACTTATAGGTTTGCATGCATTGCTTAAACGGTATATACACTCACATTTCATATTTACCATTTATATTATTGATATAATTTATAAATTCGCAGGACAGGTCTTGGCGTCAATGCTATCGATATTTTGATGCAGCGATGTTTTCGCTGTTTGTCATCGTCATTCTAGTGTTGGTAGCCCTGGTCTGACAACTATATGACACAGCGGTTTTCGATAGGAAATTAATCGTAAAATTACTAAATTTAAATGAATTTTCGGTATTAAAATAAAATATCAAATAGGCAGACAATTATAATTTGCAGCTCACTGAACATCATGTTTCAGTTTTAAAAGGACTTAAAACTTAGATTTGTTGTCAATCGAAAACTTTAAAGTAATTTATACCCTCTTTGATGACATTATAATTTTGTCTCCGACGTCATAAAACATATCGCAAGTCGCTACAGCCATCTGTGTGTGTTCATCCAGATCGGACCACAGTACCCCTTAACTCATACCTACCCCATAAGCGATGAGTTTTAAGTTGTGGGATGGACATAGGCGTAGACATAAATGACAATATATAAAGTAGATATACCTTACTGATGTGGTCATATAATCAGTTAGGTGGTTAATATATGTACCTGCCATAGTTCTTTGGAATTTTTGAAAAATATTGAATAATTAGCTTATGGCAGGCAATTAAATTTTTTGCTAGGCGCTGTTCCAGTTGAACTGCGAGACACTGTATATTGAGTAAGCAGAAGGACTAGAAATTGGTAACAACATACATATGTATGTCCAAGATATAATAATATAACTCTGTACATAAATTTAGGAGTCGACCGTTTGACTCCGGTCCTCAAGAATATAAAATCATCGGATTGGCGTTCTTACTTGCTTTTTTAGGTATAAAGATTTCGCTTCGCTATCTGATTGCCAGGAAATCAAGAAACATTGTATATACATACGTACATATTTCATACTGCGTAAATCGAAAAAATATGAATTTCGCAGTTTCGTAAAATTTATTAACGTCTTATCAAAAAATAAAATACATATTGGGCTAATTTTGAACAAAAGGCACATTTCATTTTGTAAATATCTTTGCACAAATGCAATAAAAGGCACAAATGGCAATGTTCAAGATCTATGTTATCACTAACCATTCAGAAATTGTTCCAGGGCGTCTTTTGCCTCCGAATCGTTCTGCTCCAAAACGACTTCTTCCAAAGCCAAGTTGTTTGTTTTTGTAAGTATTTCTGTAAAGGGGGACATAATAAGTATTACAATTTTGGATTTGTTTAATTGATAATAGATTGATATACTTGTTAGTTGCCCGCGTTGCTTGTACTCCTCGAGATCGCCACGGAATGCATCATCAAATACGGCTTGTCGTTCCTTTTGGAGCTGCCGCAACTGCTGCTCATGGACTCGAATCATTTGCTGATGTTGCTCGGCAATCTGCTGCCGATATTGCTCCAGTTCGTCGAGCTTCTTTTGTTTGTGCCTGGACAGCTGAAACTGCTGCTCCAGTACAAATTCCTGTAGCTCGCATTCCTCGCACAGATTCTCCAGCTTCTCCAATTCCAATTCCAGCTGAGAGCCCATTTGCTCCAAAGATCGAACAGTTTCCACGCTCTCTTTCAGCTTGGTCACCAATGCAGGCAGGCCTGCAAGACACGCATTGACCTCATTGATTGTACCACGCTGATCGCCGGCACGCTGCAGCACGGCTGTGATTTGTTCGGCCACAGATGAGGCATGCTCCGCATTCGCCTTGTTGGCGGCATGAATTTGCTGCCAGTCATCCTCGTATTTGGACAGCAGATTGCAGCCAGCAGCCACATTCAGCTGTGTGGGCACGCCATCAGCCAACTGGCCACCAAGGAAATGTGAACTGCTCCGGCTCGAGGAAAAGTTCTCATTCAAGCCCAAGCGAGACGCATCCTGTGTCCCAATTGGAGTAGTTGGTGTTGTTGCGTTGCTTGTTTGGCTGCTACTACCGCGTCTGCTGCTACTGACACGTTGGCGATACTGTTGCTGCAAGCTCTCCGAGATAACCATGCCCTCCTGTATCGCATTGCTCAGCTTCTTCTTTAGACTACCAAGCATTATACACCTATAATAATATTATATTCTTCGACGATTTAAAAAAAAGCTGCTAATTGAATGCTGTTCGTATGAAATTCTGCTGTTGTAAATAGAAAATCAGCTGGTCTCAAAATGGCAGCTGATATTTGACAGCTTGCTGATGAGAGCGAGAGAGAAGAGACTTTTTATCATTTCTATACTCTTCCTCACTTAAGATTACAAGACTTTATAATGTGCTTCGTTTTTGCTATCAATTCATAATATATTTAATTCAATTACAGAAAGAAAATAAAAGCAGTTAAGCGAACTTGTGCGCCTTAAATTAATGGTTGTGGTTCTTCTTAATAATTTAATTTAAAATTGTAAAAATGTTGGGAGGGTGGGAAATACAAATTATATTTGTAATCTTGACAATATGCGTATGTTGTGGAAACGGGCAGAGCTACAGATAAAATTAAATAAGCTTGATTTGTGAATGGGTTTAACAAAATTATATCCAAACTTGAAGTCTCTGGCCCTTAAATCTTAAAAGCCGAAAATCTTTCGCAATTTTAGAGCTTAAGTTCCTAAACTTGAACTAGGAACTTTTTCCAACATTTTTATTCTGCCTTGCCTACTTCTGACCTCAAAATTCTTAAAACCCCATATTTATTTATCTGTTTATTCTATGATATAGAATCTCTCATGACGACGAGGGAATGGCTATCGAATTTGATGTTAATGGTGAGCTAGAAAATACTGCATGCATTTTACCTGGTTAATGCAGATATTGTCTTTAATATATTAAATATATATTTTTTTTTTTATTAAGATAAGCTGTTTAGCATTCAACAATATAAATTATGTTCACAACATTTTTGTACCATCGATAGACGCTTTTCGCTTAGAATAAATATGCTAATCCTCAGTCAAATCCACGGTGTTTACAAAATCGGAGCTAGACCCTGCAATATCCACCAGTTCCTCTCTCAGGTCTCGAATCTGTATCTGCTGTTTTATTGGCTGATCTGATTCCTGCTCAACTAGTTCAATATCACTACCGCTGTTGGATGCCAAGTCATCATCTTTTACGCTATCCTTCAGAGATATGCAGCTGGCCGCATTGCTTTTAGTTTCCGAGTCAGTTTCGGAGCAGCCGACAGATTGCTCCTCCTGGGAACTGAGATCTATTGTGACAATGTCGCGAACCTCATCACCTGATGACGATGCAATGGATAGCGTTTCTGGAAGGTCGTTTTGGTCTTTCTTGGTCTCATCGTCTGACATCAGTTCCCTGATTATATCACTTGACGGCGAAGCGGGTGACGTTGGTTCCTTTACTTGAGATTGATGTGAACGGAGCACTTGCCCATAGGCCATGGCCACGGCTAGCGCCAGATTATTTGAATGCATGTAGTAAGCAGAAGTTGGCACTTTTGACTCATCCCCGACTGTTAGCGGGGATCTCACATCCTCCTCCTCACTGCTACAGGTGCTTCTACTTTTGCATTGGCGTTTAATTTTCCTTTTGTGTTTATTCTTCTTGTGCTTTGGTTTGTGAGTCCGACATCGACTTGGACTACGACTTCGGGATTCGATGCTGGAACTTCTGCTTCTGCTCCTGTGTTGCTTTTTCGATTGCTTTATGGAGCGGCGATTAGCGTGTCCTCTTCTTTTGGCTGATTCGTTGTTTCTCGCATTGTGGGTGTAGAAAGCATTTCTCTTGCGCCTCTCGTACCGATCATCCAATTCCCGCAGCTTTTGCTTGCAACTCGCCTGCGTCCGCTCAATTTCCCGTTTATTGTGGCGAAGTGCGCTGTTTATTGTTCGGCCAAGAAACTTTTTATTTGGTTTGCCTAAGGGATTTATTTTGCGTTCAAGTGGTTCATAGGAAACAATGCCGTTTTGACCTGGTAGCTCACGCATGAGCTCTGCAATTGCCTGGCTGCTCCCAATTGTAAGCGACATTTTTAAATTCATGAATAACAAATATTTAATATTGTTTTTACCTTGTAAGTGCGGATTCGTCCATACTTCATTTTGTTTACGCCATTATAGATTAGAAAGTATCGGACGTGCTATCGATAATTAAATTTTATCAATGCTGGGACCCTATCGTACAACGTCTGTGTATCGGATCTGATTTGTCTGCTGTTTCCCAACACTGTTAGTAATTGTTCGTAACCGTTCTCATTGATAAGGACTTGGATCTTCTTTAGTTAGCTGTACATGTCATAAATCATAACTAAGAGAAGTCCGATTGCGCATGTCTATTACTCGTTAATAAGTAGCTGTTTTCGTAACGTCATAACAACACTTCTTGACGAATCTTTATTTTCGTTACCGCTTGACGCACCACTTGTAAAAAAAATCTAGATAGTAATAGGTCATTATTTTAAGTAAATATTTATATTTATTTATACAAAAAAAGAGAAAAAATAATTTTTTTAATTCTACTTAAAATTAAAAAATAATAACGAATTCGATAGGATGGAAAATGATAAAAAAAAACGTTATTTTTCACAATCGGAATAAATTAAAATTTTTTTTGTTGAATCAATTACTTGTTCGAATAGGACATTGGCTTTTAGGTCTCAATATTGGAAAATACTGAATAGCTTATGAGTGAACGCTTAATTTTAATTTTGAAATAATTTTAAATTAAGACTGAACTAAACTGGTAACCAAAACTCTTAGTCATGTTGTTAATGCTTGCCCACAATCACAATTTCAGATGATATTTAAACTTAATTATCCTTTTTTCAAATACCTTTTAAATAAGTAATGCATTTAAATAAATCATTTCTTAAATGCAATAAATTTAACTATACCAACTGTTGCAATAGTGTCTATATGATGTAAATATTTGCGTAATGTAGTAACATTAAAATTGTATTGTTTATATTAAATATATAGGTATATTATATATATTGCATTCTGAGAACACTCTTCCAAGAAACATACTCTTGCTGCTGTGCATAACAATCTGTATATTCGGATTTCAAATTGTATATTACATATTATTATGGCGAGTAATGACTTATTCACTCGACCATTGGTAGCAAATTAATAACAGGATAATGTGTTGCTTAGCTTATATACATAAGTATGCTTACATTTCTAATATCACAGATTAATCACCATTTGATCACATTGAGGGAATATTGACTTTTACTTGTTGTTGCTTAATACATTTTGGATCCATTTAACGTATTTGCTGACCCGCGTATAAATGCCTGGCAGTCCTGGACGAGCGCAGCCAATGCCCGTGGAGACGACGCCCAGTAGATAGTGCTTCTTGGACATCAGGGGGCCACCGGAATCAGCCTGTGAATAGCATAAAATGAGAATTAAAGTAACTCTCCGTTGTGCTCATTTCAAATTGTTGCATGCTCACCCAACATGCGTCAATTTGGCCATTCTCATAGCCGGCGCACAGCTGGGTGTCACCGATGGTGTTGGACTTGCCCTGCGCTCGATAAGATCGCTCACATTCATCGTTGTTCCATATTTGAATGGTAGCCTTGCGCAGGACATCGGAGCGATCGCCTTCTGACTGATTCTCCTGTGTCCAGCCCCAGCCGAAGACCGTGCCATATTCCAGCTCCAAGGAACGACTTTCTTCTCTCTCCGAGCTGACACAGCTGGGTTGAATGTGCGCCGTGAAGCCAATCGGCTGCAACACTTCCAGCAGCGCTGGTGTTGATATTAATTGCAATTACACAATTGTACATAGATATATGTGTATATATTTTGGTAGACTAACCAATGTCATGCTTCACATTGTGGCAGTCATATTGTGGATGTGGCACAATGCTCTTGAAATCCACTCGTAAGGTGTCCTGCCCCTCGGCAAGACTATTTTGACCAGCCTGGTATTCCTTAATGCTATGCATGCCGACAACTCCTTGAATCTGGGCGGGTTTCATGAACTTTTGCAGTCCATTGCACGTGCAGTGACCAGCGGTGAGTATCCAGCGTTCATGTATAATGGTACCGCCACAAAAGTGTCCACCTCGACGCATTAGACTCACCATATGAGGCAACTCATTGCGTGCCGCCTCGCTGCCACCAACGACCTTTGGCTGGCGTGCCGTGCAGGGCAGATCGGTGACTATATAGAACACAAATCATTTTGAATAATTGCAAAAGCATTCGAATTAATTATTTTTTGAAGCACTTACAAGCAATTTGCGCCTGCGCATTTTGCAAAGCGAGAAAAACTGTGAAAACGTTGCTAAGAAGTCTCAACATTTTGTTATTGTCACAACAATTAACCGTTAAGCGTTTGCCGTTGCGAAACTATTCGACGAACTGTCACAAATATTCTGTGTGCCAATAAATTTATATATGGGTCGCAGCGACTGCCGCCGAGCCACTGACATAATTGTTGCTGCTGCTGTTCTATGTGGATTGGAAATCGCTCCGAAAGCTTTTTGATAACAAACGGAAGTCTCAGCTAACACCTGTTGTTGGCTGTTCTTGCCAAGCTTCGAGCTTTCTGGCAACGACACTGCACCTCCGTGTGTATTTGCTTGTTTTATGTGTGAATGTGTGTAAGACGACCATAGCGCACTCGCTTTTGGCATTTCAATTGGCGCGTCTGTTTGTGTTCGTCTCCCTCTTTCACTTCCTGTACATAATAAAGCTACTGCTATGCCCCGAAACTGAAACTGAAACAGAAACTGAAATGGAAACGTAAACAAAAGCAAATAACAAAATGTTTTTGTGTGTGTTGCGTTTTTTATGCCCCCTGAAGTTCATGACATTGAATTGTTGACAATTTGTTTTGCTAATATTGTAGATGATCATTTGTATTTACTTTCAGCCGTATGGGTGCATCCAGCTCATTATCCTTATTCATCATTTTATTTTATTGCCCATAATTATTAGCACGTACTAGCGTTTATGTACCCTGTACCCATTTTCAATAAAGATTCAATGAAATATTTATGTATGTATTTTATTTTCATTTTTCTTATGACACATATATAATAAAAATCAGTTATTGCTTTAACATTGAACAAGGAGACATCCCTGACCTATAATGTGTATTTATATTTATTTGCATATGTATCGCCTCAGCATTTTTCATTTATTTTTAAATAAATAAATGTCATTTGATATTGAATTGAAAAAATAACTCTTATTGCATTTAGCTATAAGGCAAAGTTGAATTTTTAGGCAATCATTTTCAATTTCAATTCATAACTTTTCCTCTAGGCAAGGATCTGATGGAATCAACAAGACTTTTTTACCAAGTGCGTTGCATGTGCATTCATTATGCATTATTAAACTCTGTAATAATAATTAAGTATTTTTTGAACAAGAAATTGTTGTTTAAATTTAAAAAAATCCATGACCAACTAGATTGAAATATCATAGCTATACATTATTTTGGTGTCTGAGTTTTATAATTCTTTCGAAAGAGAAATATGAGATTTGTCAACTTCCTATTACGAAATTTCAATTATTTGTACAATTTGTGATTTTTAAGTTAGAACTAAAATGCAAAAATTAAATGAATTAAATAACCTTAAGTGTCATTTCCCATCAAATATTTGACTTGGCCTAATCATCCATATTATGCAAATTTTGAATGCAGCTATTCACAATGAAGAGTCAGAGTGCGTACATAATTAAATTTGAATGTTGGCCCCACACAATGCTACCAATGTAATGGTGGAAATGATGAACACTCTGACATTAACATTGACCTTAAAATTAAACTATTTTGATGCTTACAAAGTCGACTCCAGTCAATGACAGGTGCTATCATAAATGCAGGTGGGGAAGCTCATTGGCAACAATTCGATAAGATGTTGTAATTGTAAAATATTATACATTTATAATTCGCGGAATAATTATATATTCAGGAATTGAATTATAGTTCAATGATAAACGTAATTATATTAACGAATAAAATTAATCGAACACGAATTAATTTCAACCGGTTAGACAAACGTGCAAATTGAGATACCTATCTTAGAATCAGTTCAAGTGAAAACGAAAACGAAAATAAATATGAAACCCAGAAATGAGTCCATCCGGTAATATAAGTTCATTGATCGGGGCAGTTTCTATGTATTGTTGTCTCGTCGTATGCTAATTCATATTCTACTCTATTGACAGCCGAACCCAAATAAATGAATAATACGTAACAATGACAATAACAAAACCTGAAAAGTTCCCTCACAAACGAGTTTGGGTGCATTGACACCCGCCAGCAACATTCAATTTTTTTTTTGTCCTTAGCTTTATTTTGGCACTTAGACGCATTCAATGTGAAGGTTGCCTTACGACTTTGACGCGTTTATTTTTTAATCACTTTTGTTTTGCGGCAATAAGTTCATCGACAGGTTTTCGGTGAGTAATTCCATTAGAGGAAGTCTGTGGAGCTGTTCGTGATGCGGGTGGTTTGCGGGTACTATTTTTACGTGTACGAAAAGGCAGTTTTTAAATTTTGCTCATGAATTAAAAATGGAAATCAGGCAACCTCTTAAACGGATTTTATCGCAGATTTTTGGATACTCGGTGTAATTTTCGGAACATCGTAGTAAATTTTCGGTTCCTCTGGAATTTTGCCTATTTTTTTTGTGAGGCTCTCAAAATTCCTGTCTAAATCCTTTCTCTAGTTTGCATAGTTATTATTATTATAATTTTATATCCTATACACTGTACAAATTATAGCTCATAGTCGATTACCGATTAAGCTATTGGTTATTAATACACCTTGACATAATATAATTGTATTTGTCATATTTATGAGCAAGTATTCTTGGAGATCTTAGATATTAAATATAAAATCACTCAATTTTTTACCAAGCGTTAAAATAAAACTTAAAATTTGCTTGCAGCAGATATGCAATGGAAAGCATGTTCTCAGATTAAATATAATACATTTGAATAGAATTTATATAATATAAGCTCTATTTTTTTTTTTAGATATTTTAACCACGTCTAATATCAAATTATCAAATTTGATTGAATGCTGATCCGAAAACCTAACTCGTCTTATGGAAGTCTTCTTTGAAAAACATTTAAATTTGTATTTTGTTTATTCTTATTCATATTATGGAATCGGAGGAAGTTATCGATATAGTGACGGACGAATTTGGCTAGACAGACACCTAGCATTACAAACTAACCGTTACATCTTGGGTACAGCTTGTCGCCCCCAAAAACAAAAAATCCATTAGTTTATCTTATTAAATTAATTAAAATAAGAACTAAGTAATAAGACTCGTATCTGCAAGATTATGTAATCTTCTTAATCTTTAAAAAGCTTAAAAAAGATTTTATTTATATTTTTAATTAAATGGTAGACTATATAGCTAATGTTTTAGGGATTATTGCTGCTTCTGGAAAATAATCTCGGTTTCAGAATATTATCTAAATAAATGTGAAAGCTTAAATTAAAAATCAAAATAGTGCAGAAATGTGCCACATTAATGATGGATTGAGTTTAAAACCAATTTATCCGCTACTTACTTGAGCATGTGGGTTAATGTTTGAGTAATTGTAGTTAGGATCGCTTATTTGGTTTCGATTATTACTCGAAAGCCAAGTGTCAAGTGAAAGGCTTTCTGAGCAACAATCAAAATTATATGAGCGTCCATAGTAGTTGGCTGTTTCAGGCATCAGGAGAACACACTAGTAACCATAAATTATAGCACTTGAACTCTTGATTGTTCATTGTATTATATTTCTTTTTGCAACTGTTTGCTGAGTTTCTGTTGGCAAAGCAAACGTCTGCACGGTGTGAGTGCTGCACTCGAACTGCACTTGTGATGCGAATGCTGTAACGTTGTATCCTGTTGTCCTCCGATCCTTCTAATGTGAGAACACATAATGTCCTTGTCACAGCGAACGAGCCCCAACTACAATACGAATGCCAGCTCGGCAACACCGTAGCAGCAACAACAACCCTCTGCCGTTGGCTTTGACTTCGTTGCCCTTGCGGCGTATACGTAATATTAGTGGACTCGGCTGCTGCCTGCTGTTCGACTGCTGGCGGCTAGAAAAACCGACCAATGAGCGTCGAACATTTATGTTGCACAGCTTGAGATAGTTGGATAAAGTTGCGCAGGCGTAAATTATGTAAGTTTTGTATAATGCGTCGAGTAATTTTTCATTTTTATTTTAAGGTCTGTAACGCCCCCAAAAGTGTGATATATCTACCTGAATGCATTTATAAAGTTCTTTAATTGCTTTAATGATTCCAATTGACATATTAATGGTCTTCTTGAGCTGATAGCCGTAAGCAAAATTTGACCGACATATATTGATAAATAATCAAGTGATTTGATACGGATGCAGCAGTTGAACTGTGGAGAGAATTACTTTAGGTCCAATTATATTAGCTGAACTCGATCCCTAAACTTTAATATAGACAGACAGCTCTAATACTGAAAGACTAGTTTCAAACTGGAATAGCTATATCTCGGTTTTATTTGTATATTGTTCTTAAATTATATGTTCACCAGATGCGAATCCAGTTTATGAAATCAATATTCGATTTGTGTTACTGTAATATTGTCACACTTAAACCCTATAAACCCATCCTTAATAAAGTATTTTAAGTTTGATGACATTCACAGCGGCTTTTGCTTCTTAAACCCCTCACCTACTCACCTCGCAGTCCCCAAGACTTCAATCAAATGCAAGCCAAATGTTTGATTGACATTAACATTTTATTTGCCAAATTGTGATTGACAATCTGTTGACACGCTACTAAGAAGTTTCCTCCGCCTGCGATTCAGTTTAATCCCATCGCGGCTTAAGAAGTTTATAATTAAACTTATAGATATAAATGGAGGAAGTACATTGTGTAAAAACTACACAACATGCAACCTGACTAAGTAAAGCGTGAAATATTTAAATTATTGATGAGTGCCAAACTACATTTCAATATGCTAATTACTTATGTTATGGATGCACAGAAATAACAATATATAACAATAACTGCTAGTGGCACCTAGTGCTAATGATGTTGCCGTAACAGCATTTGCCTGCAATTTCCCTAGTGACGTGGCACAACTTAACAAATGCCGAAATGTATCGAAGGCGACATTTGCAATAAAACAAAACAAAAAGGGAATCCACAAGTAGAAGGTGATAGACACGAAGAAACCCTGTATTCAATTTAATACATTTACAATGAAAGCACATTAATTATAGCATCAGGTTTTGATATTTTTTTTGTGTGTACCAAAACATTTTTGATTCAAAACAGCAAAGTTGAAATAGACTCG